TTCATACCGCAGACATTCCAATATCGGCCGTGACGCCGCCTTCGTGCAAGAGAAGGTTCCACACACACACACACACACACACGCCGCTTTTTGCGGCAGATCGTATCTGAGCAGTGCAGCGACAAAGCTGAGACCTAAATCGGCAGGTTCTTCACCTCGTTGTTGATGGAAATGGTCTGGTCATCAAATCCAAAGTCTCAGTGAGATTCGGCTGAAGTGCGGTGAAAACATGGCTGTTCCGAGGGTGACCTCAACCAAGTGGCGGTGAGACGGAAAGACGAGCAAGGTTTTCCGAGGGGACCGAAACAAAACATCGGTGAGACAGGAATATGGAGTCGAAGGGGACCTCGACCAAGTGGCGGTGAGACGGAGAAAAAAGCAGGGATTTCCAATCGCCCAAACTCATGGTGTCGGTGAGACAACGGAGCGAACCTGTTTGCTCAAGGGCCTGCGTGTATCCGTGAGACACCTCGTGAGACTAGGTGAAACGTCCTCCGTCTTCACCGCCTTGCCCTCATATGATGCTCAGCTGCTGGGACGCTGCTGGGACGCCTTCAAAGCGGTCGGACCACGATGATCTGTCTGATGGTGGAGTGCGCCGCATGGAATGCCCAGTAGTCACCGCGGACTGCACCATGATGCCGGCATAGGCGTTGAATCTCGCTGACTCCTCCCGCATCTGTCCGGGCGTGAGCGACGTTGCCGGAGTACTCGCCAAGGATGACGGCGGCCTGCTGTCCCTTGCCAATTCGGTACAACTTCCGCAGGAGCTCGTTGGCGTTGTCTTCATTGAGGTGGCCCTGCTCGCCGTACCCGAAGAATCCGAAACTCGGGAAGTCTGATCCGCTGCTCCATGAGTTGGGTCGGAGCAAGCGGTCCTTGAGGATTCCTGCAGCTCCGGCCCGAGTTGTTCCGTGAGCCCAGCAGTAGTGGTAGTGAGCCACATTGCCGAAGGGGCTGGCGTCGCGGAAGTGCAAGTGGATGCCGGTCAGGCGCATGGTGTTCTGGTGGTAGGACCGTGTGAACACGTCTTCCCGGTGGACGTGGATGCCGGCGCCCAGGATGGCGTCAGTCAAGACTTGGACTTGGGACATAGGTAGATCTTGATCGACGGAACGAATGATGTCCTGGAGTCCGGTCTGCTGCGCTGGAGTCCATGTCTCCGGCGTTGTCAGTTCAGCCGCTGGAATCTCGACAAGCGTGAGCACTCTGCTGCGGTCCTGCATGGCGGCTGCGATGGCTTGTCGCCACTCGTTCATTTCTTGTTGTGGTTCGGGATCGACTCGTCTGGCAGGGCGAGGTGCTGTTTTTGAGTGAGGTTCACCAGGTCGAGAACGTGGAGGTTGGGGATCACGAACTGGAGCACGTTCAGCCTGTCGGTCGCGCTGTCCTGAGCGGTCGCGGTGTCCGGAACGACGTAGTCCAGGAGAACGGTGTACGGGTTGACGGGGTCCGCGGAGGCTGTCTGCTGTTGACCGAGATCGACGTGCGTGACCATGTGTAGCGGCATGTCGTAGCGGAGATGCCCGGCGAGGCCTTCGCGAGGATGTCCGACCAGATGGGGGAGTGTGACGGTGTCTAGCAGCACTGGTCTTTCTTGACCGGCGTGTACGGGACCTTCTGACCGCCGAAGCTGGTAGGAGCACGCCTGGACGATGTGGGATGCGTTGGCGCGGGTCCGATCGAAGTGGTCGTGCCGAAAGCCGACAACGATCAAGTTGTGGCCGAGAAGCTGATCTGGTTCGTCGACCGTCATCTCGTTGTCGGCTGGACCGGCTTGCATCTTGTTGGCGGAGATCTGGTCGATGAAGGTCCGGCTGAGGTTCCTGACGAGGAGGATCTTGGCTCAGAGGAGCAGGCTGGGATGGTGTATTAGCTTCACCGGGTCGACCACTGTCTGGAGCAGGTGCAGGGGGATGAGTGTTGCTTTGCGCTTGCTGGTTGGTAAGTGTTGGCACTTGAGTGGCGTAGGGCACGTAGTTGACCGGGTAGAGGCGCGCGGTGGGTTCAAAGCCAAGTGGAAGGATGGTTCCAGGAGGATTGAAACTTTCAGTATGCTGGGCACCTCCAGGAAGGTACGGCGTCGCCGGACCTGCGTGGTGACGAGGCCATGAAGGATTTTCGCGCAATCCAAAGTCACCTGCTTGTCCTGAACCTCGGGAGCCAGGAAAGACATACATGGAGGTGACAGAATGGAACTGCTGTAGATGTCGAGAAGCCATCAGAAAAGCCGGTGGTGGTGTGCAGCTGAAACAACTCAACTGAAGAGGAGGAAAAATCTGCAGCAGGTCACTCATCCAGTGCGAGTCACTCCGTAGCGAGGTCACTTGGCAGTTTGAGCACGTGAAGAGTAGGAACACGGGAAACCGAAAACCAAACCTGAAGACCTACAAAAGCAGCCTGACGTCAAGCGGGGAACCGACCGGGTCTGCATGCTGAATCTGAACCTGAACGAAACAGGAACGCTGAACGGAGTTTGAGGTGAGACGTGGCCAAGGAGGCAAATTGATTGGGAGGGGGTACCTCAAAGCATCCAGCACCGAAAGGGTGCCCTGAACGAGATCTTCTCCTCAGTGAGGAGCCGGGCATGGGAACCCGTCTAACTTGGCGCCTTGTCGGACGTGCCAAGCGATACACACTTTGGAATGCAGAGAAGTCGCAAAGGTCATGTCCGGGCAGTGTCACTCTAGTTACTATCACTCTAGTTGCTAACCAACAGCATCAACATCACGGCACAGAATCCAGTGGGTAAACCAACAGCTTATCATCGAGCGCAGGTACGTGGCTGAAGCGTCCTTCTGCCATATCCTGATGCAAGACTTGGAGCTTCGTTGGACCAGGCCAAGTCAAGCATCCCTGGTCCCCCTGCTCGTGTTCATACCGCAGACATTCCAATATCGGCCGTGACGCCGCCTTCGTGCAAGAGAAGGTTCACACACACACACACACACACACACACACACACACACACACACACACACACACACACACACACACACACACACACACACACACACACACGCACACACACACACACACACACACACACACACACACACACACACACACACACTCAACGAGCTGACTCTGGCTCCTGCTCTTCAGTGGCGAGGGCATAAATGATAACGTTGGTGACAGGGATCAGAGCCTCAAACACGCGATGCGAACGCTATCTGACTAGGAAAGCCTCCGTGGGGGCAAAACCCAAATAGTAGGGCGCCACAGGTAACAAAGGCAATGGGTTCTTGGGGGGAAACGCATCACCCGCTCAACTCATCTGCGCACGCCAGAAGCGACTCATCTGCGCACGCCAGAAGCGACTCATCTGCGCACATGCGCCCCCAAAGTACTGCGCCTGCCACCAAATCCAGGTCCAGATGCGAGCTTCCGGGACAACTGGGAAGCTCCGAGCAAAGATCAGGAACGCGCGCGCAAGACGGGAAAGGCCCCAGTGAAAGACGGTTGGTTTAGGGTTGGTTTAGGGTTGGTTTAGGGCTGGCTTTGGATGGATGTAGGGTTGGTTTAGGGTTGGCTTAGGGTTGGTTTAGGGCTGGTTTAGTGCGGCTTAGGGTTGCTTTAGGGCTGGCTTAAGCTTGGGCTTAGGGTTGGTTTAGGGCTGGCTTAGGGCGGTTTACGGCTGGTTTAGGGCTGATCTTTGCTCGGCGCCTTCCCGGTCTTTTGCTGAAGGCCTTCCCGGTCTTTTGCTCGGCGCCTTCCCGGTTGGGCTTAGGGTTGGTTTAGGGCTGGCTTAGGGCGGTTTACGGCTGGTTTAGGGCTGATCTTTGCTCGGCGCCTTCCCGGTCTTTTGCTGAAGGCCTTCCCGGTCTTTTGCTCGGCGCCTTCCCGGTCGCCCGGGGCTCTCCCGGCCTTCCCGGTCTTTGCTCGGCGCCTTCTCGGTCTTTTGCCGGGGGCCTTCTCCTTTGCTCGGCGCCTTTCCCGGTCTTTCTTTGGCGCCTTCCCGGTCTCTCGCTGGGAACCTTCCCGGTCTGTGCTCGGCGTATCCCCGGTCTCTCCACGGCCTTCCCAATCTTTGCTTGGCGGCGCCCCCCAGTCTTTTGCCAGGGCCCTTCCCGGTCTTTGCCCGGCGGTCTTTTGCCGTGCGACTTCCCAGCCTTTGCCCGGCGCCTTCCGATCTTTTGTTCGGCGCTTCCCGGTCTTTTGCCAGGGGCCTTCCCATCCTTTGCTCGGTCTTTTGCCGGGGGCCTTCCAAGGATGGGAAAACCTTTGTCGACGTCAGTGTCAGCAGATTAGAGGGCTCGACGTGCACAGACGATGCACTTTCGACGTGCACAGACGAACCACGAACCTTCTTGGGGTACGAAAGCATCATGGAAGTGGGTAGGACACTTGTTCAAGCTGGTGGTTTCCACTTGTTTGTTGGAATGAGGGGTCAGCATGGGTGCGCTCGGATGAAGACTGTTGGCTTTTATGACACCTAACGCACCAGTTGCATCTCTCCTCCGGAAAAGGAGACCATCGGTGGCACCGCTGCTCTACGGAAAGATCCGAACTCGGGACCTTGAACTCGGAAGGGAAACATGTCAGACAGGGCCCAGTGCAAAGGAGGCGATGAACCGAAAAGGACTGCGACCTCGTTGGGCCTCCCGGGGGGAAAAAAAAAACAATAATACTGGCATTCCAACTCCGAGCAAAGGAATGTCCCAACTCCTGAAACAATGCTGCAAGCATCCGCTTGACCTGTGAACTTTCGTCTCGCGTCTTCTTTCGGCGGGCGTTTCGACTATGTGTTTTGGCATGCCCTGGCCAAAGGTAGTTCTTTGCTCTTCCATCTGGCCTCCTGAACAACACTGCTGCATTTGCGGACAGATAGGTCAACATACTCCTTGATCGATGAGCCCCTTCCATTCATTCATGCAGATCTTTGGGCATGTTGACCAACAAAGAAAAACGGGTTGTTTAAAACACAGGTGGCACGGTCCGATCCAACCAGAACCATCGCCCCACGCCCCCACGCCCTGCCCATCGGCGAGGCGCGGCGGTCACGTCCACCACGCAAGCGCCGCTGGAGGTCCCTCCGAGGAAGGCCCCCAGCGTCTCCGCCGCGGGCGCCAGCTCCTGATGGAAGCAGGGATCGTGGTTTGGATGTTCAGGGAGTACATTCCTCTGGGCTGCTTGCCCGTTTTCGGATTTTCCACTAAAAGTGACTAACTTTTTAGTGGGCTGAATGGAACCTACCACTAAACACCAAAAGGTTAACAAGCTAAGGAGATGGCTGGGAGCCACCAAGTCCTGCTTTGGCTTCAAAAGGAGGGGTTCCAATCCTGGCAATCCAATCCAAACCACCAACCAAGGGGGAGCTGCATGGCCGAAAGAGGCGGCGAAGTTAAGGAAGTATCCCCAACAGCCCCGGCACCCCCTGAAACCTCCGGAACCCTCCCTGAAAGTGCCCCGAATCACCCCAAAGCTGATTTGGGGCAGAGACTCCAAAGCTTTCAGCGACAAACGAACACGGCCTGGTGTTTGGAAAAATCCTGGCTGCGCATGAGAGGGGGCTTGTTTTAGCAGAGACGCATTTCTTTCCAGGTTCGAAACGTGACACTTTCAAGGTGCATCCGACGCCGGCCCGCCGCAGGGGAAGTTTCCTCACTTCGGCCCGCATAGGGACCCTTTGAGCTCAGGGTTGATCCTGTCCCTTCAAGACTCAGAACAGCCCCCAGCACTTTCGACCTCCAACTACCTTCGGACAGGTTTAACCTCTTGCGGCTCTTTCTTTACATCGCTTGCCCGTCCCAGCTTCAGTTTGCAAGAACCTCCCCCATGCGACTGAGCTAGCCAAGGCCACCTTTCAGGTCTTTGCAACTGAGGTAGAAGCGCCAAAAGGCTCCTGGCCCAGCTTCTTAAGCTCCTCGGCTGGTGGCGTTCCGGGGGGGGGGTGAGGGGGGTGGGGCGGAGGGGGAAATTGGATCCGCAAAACAACGCAACACCAGATGAATACCCTGAACAAACGCGGCAGCGCGCATATATGCTAGTGTTTCTCACATCTCAGCTTGGCAGGATGGCCTTGTGCTGGCAGGCAAATTGTCAAACTTTCTGGGCATTTGCCCGAGTTGGAAAGCCACCGAGGAAACCACGGACGGCACCCCCAGTTGGGACCGAAGACTATGCAACTTTGGCCCGATTAAGTGTCGTTTTGCCGAACTGGTGTCGTTGGCCCCAGGAACAAACATGGCCATGGGTCAAAATCCGGTACCTTTAGTGAACATCCCAATCCCCACTAAGACAGGTTCTAAAATGGGTGGTGCACCTACCCCAAAATGGTACCATTGGTTTTGACCCACAGCCATTAAGTTGCAACGGGCCTCTAGACTTTCACGGAGCGATGCTCGTCTTGTGGGGGTTCCCCACGTAGCTTGCGGAACCGGCAGGGGAAATGGGGGGATCACCGGCGAAGGCCAAATGGTCAGGTCTTTTCAAGCCAAGCCGTGGCTTCCGTCCGATGGGGTAAGGGTCCAGGTAACACTTCAGTGGCCAACTGAGTGGGAAGAAGAACCCCTTTCAATCGCACCTCTCCCCGGAACCTCAAAAACTTCAAGTCGCCATTGCCCCAAACGGGCTTGCCGCCTGCAGAGCCCCAAATTTAAAACCAGCCGTGGGGCGTCGGTGTGCTGCTTGATGCTCTGCCTGTACCAGAGGAAGGCGAGCAGCACCAGCATCACCCCCAGAAAGGCCACCAGCCAGAAGCTCTGCAGCATGATCTCAGCTCGCCCGCCGGAAAAGCCCCTCGAAGGCTTTTCAAAGACGGGCGCGCCGCTTGTTTGCGGCTCCGAGAAAAGGAAAAAAAACGCGGTGGCGACGAGGTAGGCGTGTGCTTTCCTTCCTTTGAAAATCATCCCAGGGGTTCGTCGCTCGAAAAACCCGAGCCAAAGAGATGTGCGAAGGAGCTCGGGCAGCGGGAGTAAGTTGGGCATTCAAAGCGGGCAAAGGCCGTCGCAGCCAATGAGTTTGTGTAGAGAAACATTGGATGTGTCTTTTTTTACGGTCCCCCCTGAAAGGCACACCACGAGAAAGATCGCCCTTTTGTTTTGGGGGGGGTTGTCCAACCAAAAACATGCGGCTGGAGCACAAGGATTCAACATAGGTCTCACACCAACAGCACCGCCCAAAAACCTGCAGATTTGGTCTGTTTCCGCAGCGAATTCAGACATCAACGATCTTCTATACTTTCCAGAGCGCCCGAATGAACCCCTGACTGGGCGAATCCACTCCCATGCATTCTGGCGGTGATTTCAATGCAGCAAGTGCATATTGCCCATTGCAAGTGACCCCGACCTTTTTCGTTCATGCAGATTGACGCAGACTTCCGCGGCGTAAGTCCGCGCGCAGTCAGAGTCTCATGTGCTGAAAGTACTGTAAATAACATGTCAAAACACACATGAGGACTTGGCTGGTGGCTTGTTTCTGCCCTGCCAATGAACGTTGTTATGTTGCCCCCCCCCCCCACCCTCCCCCCCCCCACCAAAATCAAAGGCGTTGTGGGCCAGGAAGTTCCTGCCCATGAATGCCCCACCCCAACTCCCCACCCCCCACCCCACCCCTGTTCCCCACACATAGCTCGAGCTGCGATTGGTGGAGCCGACGTATGGCAAGTTCTGATGAGTCTCTCGGAGAACCCTGGGGTTTGATCCCCGATTGATGACCAGCTGGGCCCCCGCCCCCTCTAACCCTTTGCCCCCAGTCCTTTGAAAAGGAAAATGGTCTTCCAGGCACCCCCCCTCAGGTTCCATGTTTATTGGGTGGTAGACAACCACAAACAAGGGGCTCCATAACTATTTTCAGAAACGCGGGCTGCGCCCTGTTCGGGGCTCTATTCCAGGGCCCATTTATCACTCTAGGCCAGCGCCTTGTCGTGATTCCTCGCGGGCCGCAGCAGCCACCGCTGGCAGCGGGTGAACTTGCCGTTGATGACCTCACTTCTCCAGAGGAGACACTCATGGCGGCTGGGGGGGAGGGGAGGGGAGGGAGAGGGAGCCCAAAAAAAACCTTGTTACGCCCTTATTAAGGCCTTCTTGAGGGCCTATTTGGGCTCCCTCCCCCCCTCCCTCTCCCCCAGCCCCCATAAATCGCAAGTCTGCGGGACACTGACCCATGGCCCACCCAAAACCTCACCCCAAGGTGGCCACCAAGCCATGAGAAGGCGGCCACAAGCTCACCAGGTGACTTTTTTTGGACAACCACATGGCATGAATATGGATCAAATTCGAACCACCCGGAGATGGACCGCAGGAAGTCGAGTCTTCGTTTCCCTTTGCCAGGCCCAGTCAACCATAGTAATTCAGCCACCAAAAATCACCAACTCGGGTGTAGTCCTTGTTTCCAAAAAAAACAGGGCAACCCATTCTGAAATTACCCAATTTTGGACCCACCCTGTTTCCGCTCCTGTCCCTTCATTTAATTCATAGTCCATTCTTTCCCTCCGTGACTCCACTCATAGCCATATGACAAGGTCAAAGCTCATCAGGTCAAACAGGTGCCGCAAGGGCCGAAGCCATGGCCTCGGCTTGTTGTTTGGACAGGGCGCACAGGGCAGCTTGAAATCCGCGGGGTCGTTGACGATGCGGGTCTCTCCACTCGCATCCTCAAGTGACGGCGGCGGACAGCACGGGTTTCGATTTTGGGTATCTCCACTGCCATCCATCTGGGTGATTTTTTTGAATATTTCACCAACCTGAAACTTAAGGTGGTTTGGGGGCTATTCCCCACAGAAACCACACCATTTGGGGTGAACTCGGTCGTGTGAGGTCGTTATAATTCACCCAGATCCATTCTTTCCCCATCGCCCTTCACCAGTTGTAGTATGGGAAGCCTTCCAAGGGCGGGCTGGAAACAGGGCCGGCCCTGGATTCTGGCGGCTTCCTGGCGAAACCAGGGGCTCTCAAAAAAAAACGGCCATGAAAAAAAAAACGCGGATCTTGAGAAACGCCCCCTGTTTTCGCTTCCGACTGAGCCACAGAGGATCGCCCAGCTTCCTGGGGCACTTGCTGCTTGACCAACAGAAAACACATGACCGAAAGAGAGACGCATGCCATTTCCAGGGCCCAAACTCTCAGTGGAAGGATGGGTAAAAGGAAAGGAAATGGACCAAGTCGTAGATTGTGTATTCCCAAGCTCCATGAAGTGTTGGATCTGGCTACTCTAGCTTTCGATGTTGGCCTCGAGGCGTCTCACTGCTTTGCAATCCTTATCGGAGTTCCAGAGGGAGCTGTGCGTTCAGAGCCGCGTCAAAAGAAGAGATGCCATTGGTTCACTTTGAAAGGAAGCCAGTACATTCGCCGACCTGGAGAGCTCTTAATTGTTTCACGGCGCAAATCCCACACTTGGCGAGCGGCGCAGAACTGCGTCTCATCTAAGACCTGGCGACTGGAACGTCGGACGCCAAAATGCGACTCCGACCTAACCCCCATGATGCTACCATCTGACTAGCCAATCAGCAACTCCACGAAACTGCCAGCTCACCCAGCCAGCTGTCCAACCAACTCAACAAGCAGACGGACAAAAAGCATGCAAATCCAGGACCAATTCTGAAACATGGACGAACCCACATGGACAGTCATGTATCAGCTTGCCAGTTTCGAATCTTCAAGCAGTATCAAGCTACCCCCAGAGCACAAATCGCCTATCTCTCACAGAAAGGTAGTCAGCCAGCGAAAATCTCATCCAGCCCATCAGGAAACCAGAGTTAGACCAATGACCGAAAAAGGTTATGCTCTAGCATGGAAGAAGTCGAAACAGCCCATATATGAAGGCAAGCAAACAAAACAGGCAATCCAACACTGACACGCGACATGTTTATACAATGCATGAAGGACAGATGTACAAACACAGGTCTGAGTGGCATTTGGAGCATGCGCAACATTCTGCAAGCTCTACGAATGAGCTGGAATTCGGACGATGGCTGGTCAACCAACATGGATGAGGCCATTTTCCTTTTAAAAAAAATGTGCCAGCGCAACCAAAGGCACCCGAGCACCGGGCAAAAGCATCCTGCCTGCGAGGTGGCCTCGCGATCGTTCGCCAGCGCCGCCTAGGCAACCCCGTTGGGAACCAAAAAAAGGCTCCGCTGGTCAATGGTCCTTTTAAGGCCAAGAACACAAAAATGGCTGTGCAACAAAAAATTGGGTAACCCCAAAATGGGTTGCCCTGGTAAATGGAACCAAGGGCTCAAACCTGCGGTCCAATTCCTGGTGGTTTGATTTTTGACCCACACCCAAATGTGAAAAGCAAAAGACACAGAGGCACTGGTGTTCGAGGGAAATCCACCCACCCACCCACCCCTTCACACAAACAAAAGTCCCATACGCGTGAGCTTGCTGGCGGTTCAACTGAGTGGTGGGACACTAGGTCATCTCACCACGTGTAAATTAGTGCTTAAAGAAATCCCCGAAGGAACTGACCGTCTGAGGGCTTCCCTGTTGCAACGTTTGGCAAAGGAGAATGAGGATTTCGCCCCACGCAAGCCCCAAAAATGCTTCCAAACACGTCTCAACTGTCTGCAAGACGACGGCCATCGAACCCTTCCCGGCCTGCGTAGCCCTGGACATCATGGTTGGCATCGGGAGCGAAGAGTTCGCCGTGCCGTTGGCATCCGTGCCGTTGCTGTCCGGGCTCTCGCGGGGGCTCTTGAAATCCGCGGGCAACTTCACCTCACGGCGAAGATCTCATCTGTCAGTTGCTGTCATCTGGCCCAAACCCCACCATGCCTCATGGCCTCATTGGGATGGCGTCTTTTTTCGAACACAAGAGTGCCTTTCCCTGGCGCGACGAACCTTCGGCGGGCTTGTTAGTTTGTCCAGCTCCATTCCCTCACCCTCCAGGCAGAGGGAGCCTTCTGCGGTCATTTGGAGTGCTGCCGGGCTGCAAAGGTGTCGTTGTCCTTCAGCTCCTAAGATCTCAAGAAATTAAACCCTGGCTCGGTGAACTTGGAAATGATCCCACCAATGCTTCACGGTCTAACGGGATCTAACTCATATTGTTTCATATGTGCTTTTTCCCCAAAGCGCAAAGTGAGAAGCAGCCACTGCGCCCAACCGCCGTCCCATCTCGGGGGAAGGTTTCTGGCATGGCCAAGCCCCGCGACACGCGAGGCTCCTTCAGGACTCAGCATGGATCAGCACTCGCTTTGGACAACTGAGACATGGCGTTCCGATTCACACGTTCCGATTCCACGGCTTCCTGCGGGGAGATCCTAACCCTCCAATATGCAAGATGAATGCAACTGAGCTGCCGTGCGGTTAATCACGCTGCGCACGATGACGCGCTCAGTCCTCGTATGCCAGAATGCGAGTTCGACGGCTGGAAAGCCGACGTCTTCACACCACCAAAATGCAGGCAAAAAGATAAAATTATGCTCGACCAGTCATTTTGTGTGGCTAGAAGATTGAAACTTGGCCATGAGTCAAGAGGGGCCGCTACAAATCTTGTGGGTTTGTTGGTTTACCGTTCAAAAACCATCCCTCTTGTTTTGACCCACAGCCAGCCCCCAATCTTGGCACCCAATCTTGCAAGCTCATACCCGCCTCACCAAATGGCTTTCTTACATAGGGGAACCCCCTGAAATTGTAGGCGTCCTGTCTTCCCTTCAAACAGCAAAAGGGAGTCGTTTTCCTTTCTGGATACCCTCAAATCAGCTTGCGGCAAAGCGTCTTGGCTCGCTTGGCCTCAGCCGAGCCCCGACCAAAACCCGGGGCTTGAGATCGTTCAGCTAAAGGGAAACTATCAACCAAGGTAGAGGTCTGCAAAGGTTAAAGGCAGCCAAAGTAAAGGCCTGCAAAGTCGGCGCCTCTATCTCAAGAAGCCCATCCGCACAAGCTGGAAATATGTACTCCCCCTGGCAAAAGGCATGCATAGGTGACCGCGGTTTATCGCCAGGTGAGTTCGTTCTTGTTTGGACCCATCACTGACAGCATCAGCTGCAAAAACGCGATCTGTAAAGATCTGCAAGAGCCCTGCCCAAACAGCCCTGAGGTAAACTGCATTACCCGAGGGTCTTCTAAACGGAAGATCACAATATCTGGTCGGTTGACCTTTGCTTTCCCAAACCAAACCGTTCCAAAGAAGTGCCCCGAGAACCACACACCCCACGCGGGTGTGTCTGTCTAAGAACTGTTCGGGTGCCATGTGTTGGCTCACTTCAAGCGAAGGCTGTTGGGAGGATCTCGTGAGACCGCTGTCGTGGTACAGTGCGGTTCCACCGGCCTCGTGCTCCAATCTGCAAATGATCTTCGGGGAAAGGACACAAAAAACAAGCCAAACACCGTTGAAGGACGACAGCAACAACCAAACGCTTACACTGCAGATGTTGCTGCAGTTCATCTGCAGTCCTCGCTCAAGCGGCGGCTTGCTGGGAGAAGTTGCAATTTTGATTAAGAATTCAGTACCCCCAAAGCAGGATGATGTCTTCTACGTTTTCGGTGACATCCATCTAACAGTGTGTCCCCTATCTTGGAACACCCCAGCATGACCTTGGCCAATCTACTCGCTCCCCCACAAGGGGGGAAGCCTTCCCAACGCAGTCAACATGTTGAAGATTAGCAGTCAGTATGTGTTCGAACGGGAAATATACGTCTATGTATATATATATATATACCTATATATATATATGTCTGAACGAAAACCTCCCCAGCTCAGTTTTAAAATATGTTGGCCAGGGGGAATGTTGCAGCCAATGGGCAGATGGGAATGTGCTTGTAGGTGAAGCAGTCGAAGTTGAAGTGACTGTAGTTGAGGTCGAGGGAGCTGAGGGATTTGTCGTGCTTGCTGTCATGGAGGTAGCGGCGGCTGTCGTGATCGCACCGGTTGCAGCGGGCATTGTGGTGCTTGCAGCCGCGGTTGATGCAGTGAAGGCCTGCAGATTCCCACGAGCAAAAAGCGAAAACGCCGGCCTGCAAGGCCTGCAACTTCCATGCCAAAAGCAAGCAACTCCAAACCTCCTGGTTCAGTTGCTGCTTGCAGGGACTGTCAAGTGTTTGCACGCTTACACGCCAAATGCCTACCAACTTGCCTGCTACCCCCGAGCCCGCCCTAAACCGGTGCCCCAGACTTGCCTATGCCAAGAGCGCATCCTAATACCGGTTACGTCCACTCCTTCGCAAGGACACCCCGTCAATAGGAGCACATACGCGGGTCCGCTGGTTCAGCGTGCGGTGGAAAAGAAACATCCAAGGCAGGACCAGGTCCAGTTGCCTGTTGTTTTTTTGCTTGGCCAAAACGGCACAGAGCGGCCATGCATGCTTCACAATGAAGGATGTCAAGGCTTGACAAAGTTTCTCGAGCACTTTGATGTGGCCTGGATCCTCCCGGGTCCGTGCCCACATAACCGGCTCGCAACGCACTCAGTCCCAAAGCACGCAGAAGAACTGGAGGATGTGAAGACAGAGTGGGTCTCATCACACATGCTGAGAAATTGTTCCTTTTGGATCTCAAAAAGTTCCATCCGACCAGTTGTCCTTTAGAGGCAACCCACTCTCGGAAAATGACGGATTTCGACTGCGTCCACGGAGCGCAGCGATTGCCAGACTCCATAGTAACCACGAAGGCATCGAGAACACTGCCATCAACTCAAGCTGGGCGACGCGCACATCACCGCAAGTCGAGGAACTGTAGCCACGCGTTGGCCATCTGGGCATGCCAGCAATCCTGACGAGTCTCGCGCTGCGTCTGACGGCCGCGAGAAACCACCAGAAAGCGGAGATTGAGTCGGCGCGCTCCTCGGGACGACAAGCGCTAAACCTTGCCCCAGCATCCGGAACTGAAGCCGCTGGACCCAGCACCAACGTACTGCACATCTGGCCACAGATCTTAGAGCTCAAGCAAGCAAGTAACCAAAAGCCCAAGACCAGAAAATCTGCGCGCAGACATTTGTTAGCAGCGGCGAACAGTGAGCCGACCTTGCGCGCTGAATCACCGTCACAACATGTGTTTTGCGCCGATCCGCAGCGGCCTGCAAGGTCATCGAAAGACAGCAACACAGGGAACAACGAACATCTGGCAAAACACGCCTGGAGCAATAGGCCAGTCGTGGGTGCTGGAGTTGGCGCCGGCCTCGCTTCCAATCAAGCAAAGCCAGCGTCTACCAAGGCCGAGTCCAAGTAGCGGACACCTACCTGTCCAACGCTACCAAGGCCAAGGTGCGCTGACCCCTGGCGGGCTGGCGGTGACGATCGCCTGGGTGTTGATATCACGCCAGGTCAGATCGCCTGCAGATGCCCTTTACAGTGGCTGGATGTCGGCGCTCATCGGAAGCGTTATGAGAATGAGCACAACCACGTGGCCCATGCCCGCTTGCGCATTGCTGGCGGGACAAGCTCCAGGCTGAAGAGTTCGCAAGCGCACAGGACCAACCAGGCCCAGCAACCTGCGTGGCTATTTAGCATAACCTGCGTGGCCATTTAGCAACACCAGAATGGCACAGCAGCAGGCATGCATGTGAAACAAAACAATGACACCTCACCAGGTCGCCCGAAGGATTCAAAACCAGCCAAATTTTGCCTAGATGGCTGCACGCCAAACTCGCAAACATGCGGAATTATTTGATTCCAGCGCTGGCCTGGTTCGTCTTAGCCTCCGTCCCAGTGGCCTCCGTGCTGTTCACCTCCGTGCTGTTGGCTTGCTTTCTGTTGGCCCTACTGGCTGTGCCATTGGCAGCCGTGCCATTGGCTGTTGTGCGGTTGGCCGCATCGGTGGCCGTGCTGGTGGGCTTTGTGCCATTGGCGGCCGTGCCGTTGGCCGTTGTGCGGTTGGCCTGCGTGCCATTGGCCTGCGTGCCGTCTGTGCCGTTGGCCTTTGTGCTGTTGGCCTCCGTGTTGATCGCCTTCGTGTCGTTGGCGGCCGTGCCGTTGGCCTGTGTGCTGTTGGCAGCATCAGTGGCCTGCGTGCCGTTGGCCTGCGTGCCGTTGTTGGTGGCCTCCGTGCTGGTGGCCTTCGTGCTGTTGGCGGCCGTGCCGTTGGTCTTTGTGCCGTTGGCCGCATCAGTGGTCTGCGTGCTTTTGGAGGCTGTGCCGTTGGCCTGCGTGCCGTTGGCCTGCGTGCCGTTGTTGGTGGCCTCCGTGCTGGTGGCCTTCGTGCTGTTGGCGGCCGTGCCGTTGGTCTTTGTGCCGTTGGCCGCATCAGTGGTCTGCGTGCTTTTGGAGTCTGTGCCGTTGGCCTGCGTGCTGTTGGCCTGCGTGCCGTTGTTGGTGGCCTCCGTGCTGGTGGCCTTCGTGCTGTTGGCGGCCGTGCCGTTGGTCTTTGTGCCGTTGGCCGCATCAGTGGCCTGCGTGCTTTTGGAGGCTGTGCCGTTGGCCTGCGTGCCGTTGGCCTGCGTGCCGTTGTTGGTGGCCTCCGTGCTGGTGGCCTCCGTGCTGGTGGCCTTCGTGCTGTTGGCGGCCGTGCCGTTGGTCTTTGTGCCGTTGGCCGCATCAGTGGCCTGCGTGCTTTTGGAGGCTGTGCGTTGGCCTGCGTGCCGTTGGCCTGCGTGCCGTTGGCCTGCGTGCCGTTGTTGGTGGCCTCCGTGCTGGTGGCCTTCGTGCTGTTGGCGGCCGTGCCGTTGGTCTTTGTGCCGTTGGCCGCATCAGTGGCCTGCGTGCTTTTGGAGGCTGTGCCGTTGGCCTGCGTGCCGTTGGCCTGCGTGCCGTTGTTGGTGGCCTCCGTGCTGGTGGCCTCCGTGCTGGTGGCCTTCGTGCTGTTGGCGGCTGTGCCGTTGGTCTTTGTGCCGTTGGCCGCATCAGTGGCCTGCGTGCTTTTGGAGGCTGTGCTGTTGGCCTGCGTGCCGTTGGCCTGCGTGCCGTTGGCCTGCGTGCCGTTGTTGGTGGCCTCCGTGCTGGTGGCCTTCGTGCTGTTGGCGGCCGTGCCGTTGGTCTTTGTGCCGTTGGCCGCATCAGTGGTCTGCGTGCTTTTGGAGGCTGTGCCGTTGGCCTGCGTGCTGTTGGCCTGCGTGCCGTTGTTGGTGGCCTCCGTGCGTGTGGCCTCCGTGCTGTTGGCCTCTGTAGTGATGGCCTTTGTGGTGTTGCCCTCTGTACCATTGCTCTTCGTGCTGTTGGCCTCCACAGGCACACACATATGTACCCAGAGACAGACAGAGAGACAGAAACGCGGACGGACAGGACAAGACGAGACAGGAAAGAACTGGCCAGACAGACATGCAGAAATACTCGCCAAACACGCCAAAGAGGACAAATGTGCTTGCTGCTACAAGTAATATGCACATACATGTATCTATACATACCACATATACAGTACACATGCCCAAGAGGACATGCTGATAGAGAACCAACGCACAGCTTCAAACATGCCTCTGGCTTCTGCCGCAACTTCACGGGAGATGTCACCACCACATCTGGGACCTCAGCGGCGCGCACTGAATGTCTCGCAGGGCACAGACTCGAATGCTGCACTGTTAGGGATGGGATGTCATTCTTCTAGGGGTACCTTCCATTTCCATTCTTTCCGGGCATCCTTCTTTTCACATCAAAAACCCCGGGGAACCAGCCGGTTTTTGAAAAGAACGATGGTTGAAAAGAATGGTTGGAGTCAACCCCTAGAATTCTGGTTGGTTTGCTTCCCAAAACATGTTGCCCCGGGCCGCAAAGAAGCAGCAAGGAAAGTCCCACTGTAAGGGTCACAAGCTGCCGAGCCACTTCCGACGTCGTCACCTTCAACTCCTGCAATCCACTAAGCGGCGTAAGCCGACTGAGGCTCACCCCAAGTCGTATGCAACACGTGCAACACAAATGCCATGTGCGTGTTGCATTGGCCATCCGAAAAGGGACACCCAGGAAAGAAATCTATGTGAGAGATCACTCACTTGCCTGCCGAATTGTCTCGGCAATGGCCTTCTGCATCGACAACTGGATCAATCCTTGACACTCTCCTTTGCTTCCATGCCCTTTGAAACGTGAAAACCCAACTTTATGAATGCCTGTACCCCCCCCCCTTACCCCCCCCCCCCCCTTTAGGTAGTTAGGTCCTATCCCTAGGGTGGCTAGGAAGTGGATATAGCAACATTTTCCCTAAGACTTCCTAAGCTGAACCTAAGAGACCCCTTGATTTTGATCGGACATTCGAGCTGCGTTACTTTGCTGCGTCCCCCCAACCTAGGGAAATCAGAAGAGATTCGAATTGTTTTTTCTGAAAGTGCTGCGTCCCCCTAAGCTTTCCGCAAACATGCTTCCCCAAGGAGACCGTACGGCTTTGTCTAGGGCTTCCCTAGGGCTTCCCTAGGGCTTCTCTAAGGTTTCCAGCTTCCCTAAGGCCTCCCTAAGGCCTCCCTAAGGCCTCCCTAAGGCCTCCCTAAGGCCTCCCTAAGGCCTCCCTAAGGCCTCCCTAAGGCCTCCCTAAGGCCTCCCTAAGGCCTCCCTAAGGCCTCCCTAAGGCTTCCCTAAGGCTTCCCTAAGGCTTCCCTAAGGCTTCCGTGAGGCTTCCGTGAGGCTTCCCAAGGCTTCTTTAACCTAATTTGCAGGTTCGGTATTTCTTGTCAGTGTTCCCGCCATGCGCAGGGCGAATGTCAGGCCAAGCTTCCCCAAACCTTCCGCAAGGCTTCCGCAAGGCTTCCTAAGCCTCCCCTGCAAGAGAAGCCCTTTAAGCTTAAAGGGGGGGGGGGGTAAAGGAGGGGGGGGGTACGGGCTCCATAACAGTTCAACTGAGCCCAATATCTTGCGGTTTACTAACCAACCCACGGACATCTTGACATATATCACCTCAACATGGAGATGCCTCAAACATATCATACGTAATGTGGTGACGTCCTAGCTGCTTCCACAAAGAAAAGATAATAGATCCACAGAACTGGAGGGGCTCGAATGATTGAGATCTTGCTTCAAGTTGAACTGTTCCAACTTTGTGGCCATGCTCATCAGCTTTCGCTGTGTCCCCGCCTGCTCCCGGGCAGGGCGCGTCGGCTCCACGATCTGCCCAAGAGACAGGACCAACCAAAAAACAACCCTACTGCTGCTACGCACATGCTCAGAGTTGCTCAGAGTTTAACACAGCAGAAGTGAGAACGAGCTGAATGGTTGGCCAAAGAATCACGTGGTTTTTCA